AGGAAACGGCATTAAGCATATCATATGCCGTTTCTAGAGTTGTGATAGCTTCAAGACTGGACAAGGATTTCCAGTGCTACGGCATGAGAAGTGTGATTGAGTCAGTTAGCAGTTCCGAGGCGATGGCGACAAAGCTAATAGTACGATACCTTTACATAGAATTCTGCTTGTTTTTAATGATGGTTATATATGACTGCCTATGTTGGCACGGAAGAGTGAAGCTGCACAGGCCAATAATCATTCGTTGTTTCCAACAAGGATATGGGGAAAACGGTCAACAGTGGGTTCAAGTAGAATATTTGGCAAACTTAGAGGTGTGATACTAACATCCACACAGATTCACTTGACTCTGTAAACAGTGGTGTCGCGGCGGTCCGAGGATGATGAGACGTAATAGTGCACAAGTGTAAACAATCACAACAGCCCGTCATTAATGCGCAAGCAATTGCTCTTCAGCAACGATAGCAAGACGAATCGTCTTAAGATGGTATTGACATCTACGAAACTGAGACCCAAATAGAACTAACTAAGAAACGAGTTATAAATCAATACACGGTTCAAGTATTACAAATTGGATAAAAAGTGATTTCAAGCACCTCATCAATTCTACGTCGAGGTTGAACCCGTATAGTTCACTTCGGTCGTTAGTTGCAACTGACTAACCAATTTGTCTAAATGCTTGAAAGTTATGGACAAAAACTTGATGCAAGCCGTGAGAAGTAACAGAATTAAACGATTTCCCAAAACCAGAAGAGGTAGGGCCATGTGTTCATACGCAAGAACAAGCTGTAGGCTGAGTGCTGTCAAGAGAAAGTTACCAAAGTTTGACGGTATCGTTGCGTTCGGTGATCATTATCAAAAGATGTGAATGTGTGCAGAAGAGGTATCGCAAGCACAAACGTGATGAGAGCGGGATTAAAGAAACCCATCACCATTGGTTCAGTAAGCAGTAAAGGGTAATGTTGGAGTCGGTCAGAGTCCGTTGTACAGTTCACGTAAGTTCTCATGACTCCAGCGACTGCAATATCTTCACACCAATCGCCACACAAATACAAAGTGATAGCTACAGATGGAAATAGTAGTTGGACACCAAGTTGCGTCAGACTGAGACATTAAAAAGCGAAGAGAAAAATAAATCACTGAACGATGCCAATGAACTCTAGTGGAGGTTCGTATAGGTACGTCCAGATGCAGCTAACGGCTGTGACTTCACAACAACTATGAGAGCGTAAATAAGTCAGTTGCAGTCACGGAAACCATTGAAAATAGATTTGCAGCAACGTATGGTACTACTGCCCAGCCCACTTGTCTTGCTGAAACAAATATCAATGGGAAAGAAGCGAAAACACAGTTGGTGAGTGCCCGTTAAAGTTTTAAAAACTATGAACGAGGGCATCATAGACAGAATCCGCAGCAATCTACCTGCAAATCGAATATGTGCAACGCCGCATTACAGTGAGAGCAGTAATAGCACTATACCATACAGTTGACTACACATTTCTTTTCAATGCTTTACATGACCGTAATTGATGTGACTACACTTTCGGTGTTATACTCCAATCAAAGTCGCTTCATGTCACTTGCAGTCACTTTCTACAACCACACTTTCTACAACCGCATAAGAGAAGTGAAAATAAAGCTCGACGAGGAAAGCGATAAACTGGCATTCGCATTACGTGACTGAGACAATGCATGGGGCGTCGGAGGATAACGTTTCTGAAACAAAGGCCGTCCGCTTCAAATATGAGCAAACCGATACAGACAATGGCTATCGGAAATTGACAACCAATCTGATTTCTGTACAAATAGGCCAGGTTCCACAACTGTACTAAAGAGGCGCACAGACGGAGGCACTGTGTACTTCGGCTTGAGATGACGACATACGTGTCGCAGTTTGATGAATGCAAGGTGGGCCTTTGCGATTTGTTATCAGACCACACAGCCACCAGCCACGACGCAACTTCCTCGGTAAAGGAAGCAAGATAATTGTTCCAAAACATCAACTGTAATGGCGAGTTAAGGCACAAGCACATGCTAATACGAGTGCTTTTATTATTACACATTAACTGTGCTACAATACAAAAAGGGGATATATGAAAAGTGAGATACTGAGTATTGTATAATACAGAAAAGGACAGGGGACATACTGCTTAATAAGACATTATGCTTTAAGACCGTGGTTAAAAGAGGCCGGCTCCCAGCTATGTGAACAAAAGTATCCAATCTACCAGAGGTGTTCATTGTCCTTCGGTTCCCAGCCAAGCAGCCCGAAGACACTAATCGACACCAACTTCGACGCGAGAACCATCATTTCTATGGACCTAGCCATCACTTGGCCTCCCCTCCTCTCTTTCCATTCACAACCCAGACGCGCAAACAAGGCACGTCATGAGCAACACGTGGCCCAGCCATCGGAGCCCGTTGCGTGATATAACGATGCTGAGCAGTTCACTCGCTTTTCCTGCATCAAATACACGACGCCGAACAAGCTCATTGCTCCCACCAGACATGAGCTAAGCTGCAAAAGCAGTGGTGATCGAATGTAGTTAGCGGCTTTATGTCTGTCGGCTTGATGGGCCATTTTTCGCAACCGTACAATAGGACCTAACGGGCGAGCACAGTTCGAGGCCTCCTGCATCCATCACCAAATGGTTCAGAGTTCCGAGTAGTTAGTGGATCATTCCCAAACAAAACGATGGCATCGGCGTAATCCAAGTCCGCGACGCTGTCGCCAGAGATAAGTTCGATATCGTAATTTCGGACATTTTCCAATGCTCATTGGACACCCTCGATGGCAAAATTGAAGAGGAAAGGTAAAATAGGGCAATCTTATTGCAAGCCGCTCATAAAGTAAAGCCAATCGTAAGTCCTGACTTTACCCGATGGTGCGTTTTTCCTTAGTAAACAATTCCAAAATGCATAGCTACCTAATCAAATGTCGCTCCGATGTACAAGAAAGCATCTTGGCAAGTCACTGTACAGTTTCACAGGTTACACAGCAGCAGACATGGTAGACGAGCAATTCGACCGGAGGGCAACAGTAAACGCACCACTGACGTCAGCTTCGAGTCATGGGGTGCAGAATCATGAAGAAAACACAAAGTATGGGTTAACGGCACCCAGGTTAGTCGTCAGTGGCCTGATTTCCAGCTGCTAAAAGTCGCCTCTTCTTGAACCTTGCACTATTGCATATCTATTTAAGGCAAGACACTTCTCGGTAAGCAGTGATTGGGTGTGACCTCGTTGGACCATCTCACGGTACGAATGTCAAGCGTCACAAGAGAAACAGGAAAGTGAGCCAGTGCGACTGGCGACTCAATGTGGTAGCGAATGGTACCGTAGCCACTGTCAATTCAGTCGGCTAGTGCACAAGGATAGTAATGAGAGTATGGAGAGCAAACACAGCATTAGCATGCTTTCGTTTATCTACTCTGTTGTATGTGACAGGCAAAACGATCTCAGTATTGCATGATGAGCAATGCAAAAGGTGGCTGGAGGCCGACGAGACAGTTTGAGCTTAATATGGGCAAGGATACTGCCGACTCGGCAAAACCTAGAGAAGAAAACGGACAGGGGTTCTCAAATAAAGCCTTTAGCTCAAAGACTGATCGGAAGATAAATTGGAAGGATACCAACTAGCAAGTGCTGTAGAAACCAGTGAAGCACCGGTTCCCAATCTATAGGGTTAGGAGATTGAGTTCGCTTCATGTCTACACATTACGCATTTGGTAAAAAATAAATAACAGAACTGCCAAGCATATATAAAGACGGATCAAGCAGGCGTGCAAGCTACTGCATAACGTCGCAACGAGTCTGCTTTCTTCGTGATGGTTTAAAAGATGACCTAGGTACACTTGTTGCATTAGTTTCGAAATCCGGTAGCAGCCACTTAATGGTGACCAAAGATCCAAATGGAGGAAAACACGAAACGACGGCGTCAGTGACGAGGTATTCTCAGCAGATAACACTATCTCGTCACTCACACTGACAAAAGGGATTGGTTTGCAGAGTTGAGTAAACGCATGTGAAAAAAGCCGTGCCACCTGTGCACTAAGGAAATCCTCAAATTCTGGAAAGCCGATATCTGCAGAAGAGTGACAAAACTACATCACCATCATTATGCACGGTCGCTGAAGGTGGAAAACATCTCAGTTGCCGTGCCGCAATACATAAAAAGGGAAAATGCAACAGATGCACGCCAGCTGAGTTACCAGTAACGGATGGGCATCGTTCCGGAAAGCTGCCAGCCGCCAACTACGCAGCGAAGAAAAACATATTATGCTAAGAAATGAAATCGTGGTTGGAGGGGGAGAATGACCAAACAAAATAATTCATTAATGAGGTTCGCCACGAACTTTCAGATATTGCAGAATATTTCAACTGTTCAGAAAACAGTGTCAACAGCGAGACCGGTATAAACTGTTAAGAATGAAATAAACGCAATTATCCAATTCAAGGTGAGACATGGAAGAGATGCTCACCCTTTTAGAATTCAGGATGATGAGTAAGTGACGGAAGATTTCGATGAAATCGATAAACAAGTCCAGCGCATGCCTAAAAAACAAACGGGAACCATTGTAATCAAATGTAGAGTGCGGACAAACCGTATGTTTGCGTGCATATCACTGGCTGAAATCCTAAGGAGCGCCGCTTCGGAGGCGGAACATTGATTATGTTCTAACACTGTTACCGAAAAAAGCGCCCTCAAATGGGGACAATTAATATCTCATGACAACAGCCCGACTACGATAGGATACTGGAAATGATTTAACAAAACAGTTGATTAGCGAAAACAAGCTCCGTGAAGAGCCTCAATGAACAAACTAAGGCGAAACGAGCGAGAAAACCCGATCATTCACAATGGTGCTTGGCGCAAAATATGCGGCAATACGATGCTGTTCAGACGTGCATCTCCCAATAGCAATATGGGTTGTACACTATCCATTGACAAGGTGAAAACTTATCAGAAGCTAGTATTTATAAATCTTTCTATTTTCGTTGATGAAGCTGTTCTTAACAAGTGTCATTGTGTCGCAGAAATCGTGACAAATAGTTGCAGATATGGCGATTAAACACACGGTGGCTGACTGGTCGAAGCTGACTTGCGGTGCATACGAAGAGCTAGTTATTCCATGATCGTGCTTAGATGGAAACATGGGTGTAACGATGATTTCGATTCGTTGCGTTGTGGGTCACATACCACAACGCAACAAAGCATAGAGCACAATATGCTGTATGTAGTTGGATGAGAAAACACATCAGACGTGCACTGAACTAGCTATCGCGAGTCACGATAATCAAAAGTTGAATCGATTTGGAGTTTAGGTTTCTTGGAAAGTTCCGCACTCTACATGAGAGCAGCTTGTTAACGATCGGTTGACTTAGAGCAGCCAATAAACATCCGTGTGTAGAATCGATCACGGTGTGAAATCGAGTAGTATGCGAGGTATTAATGCAATCTGTCAAACCTGCTAACTGAAAGAAGCACATGTCCAACGACTTTTATGTATTGATTGTCCGTAACGGTTCCATTGCTAGGAAAAGTGTAGCGTTCAAAGGTAAACTGTACTTTGGCGATTATTCAAACGGTCAGAACAAATATGACGAGAGATAACACCAACTGCAATGAATTCGGCTATTTCGCGTATCCTCCTCAGATGTTTACATACAAGTGGTGGAATGAACAGGTTGAATATATTAAACACAATCAACGTGATATATTATTGGTGAAATCTAGGGCAGTCGACAGTCTTCGAGTTTACGTGACTCCAGTTACAGGAAAAAAAACGATCACAAGTCTCATAACGGTAGGGCGAGGCTGTTTACGAAATCCGACACACTTGATTGCAACCACCGAAGTGTTATTGTATGAACTACCGATCAACCCGTCGTCGTTGATCTACAAAATTGATTTAGAGAGAGAACGCCTTTGTTCGTGAAATCAAACAGAATGCAACCAGTAAACGCCAGAATGAGCCTTTATTCGACATAAGATAGCACACAGCCCACTCATGATAGCTAATATCAGCCATATGGAAGTAAGGCATTATTTCAATTTCAAGCAAATAACAGCATTGTAGCACCTCTTATTTGACTTATGCATCAGTTGGTGCGAAATAGCTTGTAAAAAGTCCTCTTGGAATTTCAGTTACATCACGCGATCTCATCTATATCAGCTACACTGAAAGCGCAATCACGAACATTGTTCTCCATCAAAACAGTGACCCAAGTGCTAAACCACATGCAGGGAGGCAGTTCGGTATGTAAAAATTTCCCACTACGAAAGTAACGAACGTTCACTAGCATATGCAGTTTCAAACGATTCCCAGCCTCGAAAATTCTCGCATATGGTTTTGAAATCGGAAAATATGCATCAGCGAAGGCAGCCGCTTAAATTTAGCAGCACTCTGGAATTCATTACCCAAGCAAGCACTTCAAACCAACACCGCTATGCAGCTTCTACAATTTCAAGTGTTGTGCTATGTTCGCTGAATTTGGCGGTCCGGTTTCGGACAGTTAATCACTGGCGGTAGCGAGATCGTCAGTATGTGACAAGAAACAGCGAGCAAGGTGCATCTCATAATGAAACAAGAAATGGAAAGCAAACATTCTCTGGACGTATTGGTGACTAAAGCGGTGGTCGCAGAGCTACCAACGCCAGCTGGCAAGAAATTCAGATTCATCAATCATATCCGAAGCATCAAGAAGTCGCCCGAAGTGCCATAGAACATGCGTATGGACTAGCTCGAAGTGGGGAATCGAACTCAGATACTCAGAAGACAACCGTATGTATTATTGTGTGCTAATGCGCATCAACACGATTTTGTTTGAAGACACTGTAGACAGAAAGTACGGCGCAAAAGAGGACAGTTGGATCGGATCATCATGTAAGAGGGATATATCAAAAATCCCTACAAAACAGCCACTCTTTAAACGGTATATATCAAAAAACTGGAAGCACAAACAGTGTGGGACAAACGATACGAATATAGCGAAACGAATCCGCAGCAACCACAAACAATTCATCTCTGATCAACGCCTATGTGGATGGAAGATAACTTCAACTGGAACGAAACGCGTAGGACACAATATGGTACGCCTCAACATGAATAAACTAGAAATACGGCCGAACTGAAAACCGTCGATTAAGAACACATAAGTGAGTAGGAAATCTAGCCTGCATAAGGTACTGTTTGATCAGCACGAATACGTGGTGAGAACTCACACTACATAGCAACCGCCTTGGTACGTGAGTTACGAATGGGTTCTCAAACCGAGAGGAACGTAGTTACTAACATCGCAAGGATTTGCAGTAACCTGTAGTACTGGTATTGGAATTGTTCAGTCTATTTTCCACAAGCGAAATTAGCAATTGCTAAGCAACAATCGATAACATGTAGACTGGTGATAGGACGGCCGAAGCCGAATTGCCCAGTTCTGTGCTTAAATCAAAGATGCAAAGTAATGTACTGCGGATAAGCAGGGAGTAGCAGATTAGCTAGGTGGCACTAATGGGTATATTGTATTTAAACATAATAAGCCAAACAGATGAGAAGTATGCAAGTTAGCAACAAGGTGAGGACGTTAAAGTTCGAAACGGGTGAAAAGACATACCAGACAAAATCGGTATCCCCGGATTTTCGTTTCTCGATGATCAGTTGTGTATCGAACACCACAAAGCCGCAGAAAATGGCGAATCCAATGTATAGCTCGGCTTGGTAAATTGCCGGTGAACGGAGGAACAAGTTCATGAAATTGAAACTGGCAAGCATACTAGTGGCAGACATCAGCACGGCTGAAACAGGTCGAGAGAAAGACAAACATGAAAGAGAATGAACAGCCAAGCGCATATGGTGGATGAGAAAGTAATGTAAATACCAAAGGTAGGCAGGCACACCTCATACGGAAAACTCAAATAGTGTAAGTGAACAAGTAATAAGCGCCAGACATAATAAGCCCATAAAGTAGGTGCAAAACATAGGAGCAATCGTAACTTCATAAATGAAACTGTTAACTTAGCTGATTGTATCTCACAACAAATTCGCTACGGATTGCGAAGTGACTGTACTAAGAGGATTACCGAACCGCGCGCCTGCCTACTAAACAAAAATGTGGAGTGACAATAATAACCTCCTCCATGGGCTGTCCCTTTGGATCCACCCTCTCGCTCAGAAGTCGAACGTGAGATCGGACTGTTGAAGTTGAACAAAGCCGCGGGACCAGATGATCTTCCTCCAGCCCTCTTCAAATTCGGAGGCTCTGCTCTTGTTGATGCTTTACATGAATTACTAGTGAAACTATGGGAGCAAGAGATTGTCCCAACCGACTGGAGCCGCTCCGTTATTGTTCCCATCTTCAAAGGCGGCTCGCGCTCGGAATGCTGCAACCATAGAGGAATCAGTCTGATCTCCATCGCCGCCATAATCTTTCACAGACTGATAGGCGATCGTGAAAGCCAGATTCGTGAGGAGCAAGCCGGGTTTCGTCGGGGTCGTGGCTGCATCGACCACATCTTCACCTTGCGTCAGTTGTTGGGGCACCGTTACACATATTGGCGGCCCACTTTAGTCGTGTTCCTCGACATCAAAGGTGCCTTCGATTCGGTTGGTCGATGTGCCCTTTGGAATCGTCTACTCAGGAAAGATGTGCCCGAGAAATATGTAAATATTATCCGAGCATTATACGCGCGTAGCTCAGGCAGTGTGAGTGCTTACGGCAAGCAGTAGTCGATATTTAATATCTCCAGTGGTGTGAGACGAGGATGCCCGCTGTCACCTTTTCTCTACAACTTCGCTATTGAGGAAATTATTGAGACTGCATTTACAGGACATGACTTGGAAGGTGTGGAGCTAGCCCAGCAGAACGACTTCTTGACTTGGAGTATGCAGACGACATTGCCCTCATGTGTGACAGCTCCCAGACGCGCCAAGCCGCGCTGGACAGATTAGCACTGGCTGTCAGCCGCTTCGGGCTATGCTTTGCACCATCGAAATGCAAAGCGTTCTTTCAAGATTGGCAGGGATCGTCTCCTGCGCTGACCCTTGGCGGGGATCAGCTAGAAGTCGTTTAAAAATTCAACTACCTGGGAAGTTGTATCAGCGCCCGTGGAATTGAAGATGAGATCACGAACCGGATAGCAAAAGCTCGAGGCGTCTTTGCTAACCTTCGCCACTTATGGCGCCGGTGCGACATCGCTCTCGCCCTGAAGGGCAGAGTGTACAATGCAGCGGTACGTTCGACCCTACTGTACGGTTGTGAAACCTGACCACTTAAAGCAGTTGAGATAGAGGCTAGTTACGTTCGACCACCAGTGCCTTCGCAACTTAGCTCACATCTGGTGGGAACACTATATGAGCAGCAAGCGTGTTCGACGTCTTGTTTACGGCACAGGAAAAGGAAGTGAACCGCTCAGCACCGTTATTTCACGCACCAGACTCCGATGGCTCGGCCACGTGTTACGCATGCCAGCCCACTGACTCCCGCGACGTGCGTTGTTTGCTCACCGGGGATGTGGATGGAAGAAGAGGAGGAGTGGCCAAGCGATGACTTGTTCGAGAGGAATGAAGGCTCTCACTTCGGATCTGGCCTCGGATGGAGCGTCACAGCTCCCTGGCTGAGGTCCGAAAGACGATGAACACGTCTGGCTGGATACACTTGCTGACATGGCAAGGAGCCGACCTCAGTGGCGTTCCTGCTGTGAGCTTCTTTGTCTCTCCCCATCCCTTTTAGCCTCCTCCTCCAGCTACGATCTCATTTCGTAGCGTAAAACATAATAATTTTTCCTTTTGCCTAGTGGCCAGCTGGTAGATTACCGGAACGATGTCTATCCGTTGCTGGTAGTCCAGCTGGCATGCAACTATTGTATTTATTTTCTTTTTCCTTTATGTATTGCGGGACAGTAGCTGAGGTGTTTCCCACCTCTAGCTGACGTGTATAATGATAATGAATGATGATGCTCACCGAACTGGTATGAGTGCCTGATCTGTAAAAGAGGGTGGAGATCGATCACAGATTATTGTGGGTCGTCTCTATAGCAATCAACAATAGTTGTGATGGATGACGTACACAGTCCGGATGTCGGATAACTAAGGAGAGCAGATAAGTGGCTTGCCGAACAGCCTCCCCGTGGTGCCAGCTGGGCGATTCGGGACAACTCCATGCCAACGAATAGTTCGGCAACAGTGTTTGATTCTGTGGACATGAGTGCATTGTGACACTGTCTGTTGAGGAATGTCGTCCCCGGGAAGTTCGTTTTCGCTATGCAGTCTAATCATGGGTAAAGGCATCGGCAATACTCCGGAACGCAGTACCGAGGCACCGCCGCCGCGCAACCACCACCAGTCGCATGGTTCCTAAGTAGGTTCGAAACCGCATCTTTGGATTAAAAGGCAGGCTTGTGTTCGCTAGGGTTACAGGACGAATGGGTAGAGTTGGGGTGCATGGCAAATTTTCGCCTTCCTCTGGTGAAAATGGAAAGCGTTTTGGGTAGGGGCAGATACTCGCTCGCTGAGCTAGTCCCGCCGTGTCAATTGCGGTGGTTTGGACGTATGGTACGTGCCAGCTCAGTGCCTTCGCATCGAGTTATTCGCGGTTACTAAATAGGGCTGGAGCATGCAGCGCGGTTGACAGACCGACTTTGGGAAAAGACGTTGAAAAGCTGACAAAACGGTCGGACTGGGTCGGTTGTTCTCTACGCTCTGGATAGGAGTTCAGTGGTAAAGAGTGTCGCTGGTTAGACACTCTAGAAGTCATAGCTCAAAACCGACGTCAATAGCGAACACGTATTTCTGCGTACTGCAGTGATTTCTCTTCCCTAAAAACAATTTAAAAAAAAACTCAAAAAATGTGGCGGCATCCGGTTTCGGATTTGCTTGTCACTGTGGCCAACCACAGGACGCCTGCGCCCACAGAGGGACCATGGGTGACTTGTGCTGCACCACCCACAGCTCCAACCACACACCCCATATCCAGTGTAAACCCGAAGGAATAAGGCCGGGATGCATGTGGATGGGAGCTACGTTTCATCAGCGGAGCCGGCCCACACTCTTTCAAAGGCAAACACAAGCACGCTGTGGTTGGGAATCAGTCGCACACAAGGCGGTGGCTGGACCGTAGTCCGCTCCACACTGAGGGCATGGAACCACTCTTCGAGCCTAGCATGACCACAAGGACCGACCGTGCACCCCTCCCCTCCAGCAACGACCAACTGTCTCCTGGAGCCAGTATGGACGAGGTAGTGAGTAATAGACAGGTAGGCACCTTGTAAACATGCACACCAAGCGCAGCCACAACGGGGATGTCAAACAATAGCCAATCACTTGAAATGATACTATCAAATAAAATATATCAGTTAGAGAATACCGCTATGCAGACATAACTCTTCCCTAAATTAGCATATGAAGTAAGTTGGTTAGCGTTTGCTACGCATGTGAGAAAATGCTCGTCTCTTTCTCGTGAGCACAAACTTTCGACACAGCATCCGCAGAAGGATGACTTGGCGCCCACCAGCAACGAACCATCCATGGACACAAATCGACAAGTTACCGCTGAAGAGCCTGTGCACAAAACTGTCGCTCTATTTGGAGCACGAGCGTAAACTCCGACCACGCTCTTGTGTGTCGACTTTCGGGTGCGTTTCGGGGGACGTTCGCAACGTCGCTGTGGGCGCATGGACACCGGCCAACTGGCGAAGCCAGGTGTTCTGAATGCATATCTATGTACGCTGGCATACGGGCTGAGTCAGCGCCCACTGAACACCGTTGAAGATCACTGGTCACATATTCGTCAGATGTTACTATCAGCAGGCATGTTTTAATGTGGAAAATCAAATCCCCAATTTGGAAACTGGGTCCCTACGTAGTCTGGAACTTCTGGGTCCTCACCGACGTATTCCGGCTGGAAGCGAATACAATGAGACTCGCAAAAATCTCTTGGCAAAACTCCGTGCTAGCCTGAAGAGAGACTGTGAGGCGTTGTGGTCTCATCGTGCTTCGGAAATGGAAACACCAGAAGTTATTTCGTCAGATATGGGAAACAGGCAGCAGGTGATTTGGTGTTAGCGAGACCATACGCGACGAGTGGACAGCCGATCTTCAGCTTGTTAAAACGCTGACAGCGTTGGGCTGAACACTTTGCAAAGCAGTTTAACCAATCTGAGGTATCACTTTCTTTTTCGGACATTGGTTGCCCTTCTCCCTGGGCAGTCTTTTTGGACCTGCCCCTACGCGCAAAGTTGGACATTAGGTCAGGCTTTTGAGAGTGAACAAGGCCGGAGGGGCAGATAGATTCCCCCAGTGCTCTTCAAGTTCAAATGACCTGCTCTGGTAGATGATTTACACGATTTACTAGTGAAACTTTGGAGCAGGAGACTGATCCAACAGATTGGCTGCTCTGTCATTATCCTAATTTTGGAAGGCTCTCGTTCAGAATGTGGCAATCATGGGGGATCAGTCTGCGCGCAATGGCTTCCAAATTACTTGCGTCTGGCGTTTTCCACAGATTGACTGGCACTCGTGTAAGTCAGGTTCGTGTGGAGCAAGGCCGGTTTCATCGAAACCGAGGCTGCATCGACCACTTCTTTACGTCAATAGTTAGAGCACCGCTATGTTTATTGGCGATCAACCGCTATCATGTTTGTCGACATAAAAGGTTCCTTTATTCGGTGGATCGATGTGCACTTTGGGACTGTCTGCCGGGAAAAGGTGTGCCCGATATATATACAAACATTATCAAAGCGCTGTACGCGTATAGTTCGGGCAGAGTGAGGGCTTTTTGCAAACTGTCGCTGCTCTTCAA